GAGGGCAGACACACCGGCCGCACAGGCGTCCCCCGCCCCTCCCCCGCGGCTCAGAGAGGGCGCAGGAACCGTCCGACTCGCCCGGCCTCGCCGCGGCGCGCCCGTGGCTCCGCCATGCGGGTTGAGGGCACGAAGCAAGGGCGCACGCCCAGCTCGCTCGAGATTCCTCTGGGCCCCGGATGTGACTGTTCGCTTGAGCCGCCTAGCGCCCTGCGCTTGATGGGATTGGGCGCCCGCGAGTGAGGTCATCACAAGGCGCTGAGGAAGGGAGCGGGAACTACAGGTATGAGGCTGGCGCCGGTGAGTTATGGGGCTTCCCTTTAGTGCCTTTTCCTCTTTTCGGTCTAGTGGCCCCACATCGGCTGTCCTGGGCCCCTTTTCCTATGAGGTTTCCTTGTGTCAGTTAGGTTCCTGCTCCAGACTCCAACTTAACGCGTGAAACTTTCCTCTTTCTGCTAGCCAATTCTAGCTCCACCTTTGGCTTGAGCTGGATCCTTTTTCCTTGCTTCGGACAGCTGAGGCAGTCTCTTCCTGGTCAGGCCCTCTCGTTCTCAGCATCGGTACTTACCGGAACGTCTGTGCCAGCGTGCGTTCGGACAGTAAGGTGGCTACATCAGAATATTCCCCTCTGCCCCCCAACTTCTGGATAAACTTAAAGTTGATTATAGTGCTAATTAAGTGCTACATTCTTTTGGGCAAAATGCAGTCTTTCCCAGATCCACAGTTTAGTAGGCAGATTAAGGCAACGCGTTTTTATTAAGTTAAATATCCCAATAGAGAAAATGACGTGGAGGCTGTAATTATAGATGGTTTCTTGGAAGGGAAAGAATTTCAGCATTATTTGCTTATACTTCGCTTTCCTAGGTGCCCAAAAAGTTTTCTGACAGCCTTTAAAGAGCGCTTAGTAAAAGAACAATAATAACCATCATTTGAACCACGGTGCGAGCCGGGCACTGTACCAGGTTCTTTACGCGGATTTTTATATAATTCTCAAAACAACTGTGTGAGGTAAGTAATTAAAATAATAGGGTTCACAGAGTTCATTAGTAGTTAACCCCAGTGTCTTGCAACCATTATGTAGTAAGAAATCTTTCCTGAAGCTTCCTGCTGTGTATTATCCTTTCCTAGTTGTCTAGTAAAAACAAAAGAACAGCAACTACCTTCCCTACTTTCTGATACATGGTATTTGACTATTACTTGCTGGTGCCTTCTTCCCAAATGTCTTTTTCGCCAAGTTGAGTAACCCAAATTCTTTTCATTCTTACCAATGTCAATGCCACAGCCCTTCAGTCTATTTTGGTTGCTATCCAGCTTCTCTTCCACATTAACACCAACTTTAGAAAACAACATTGTGAGGGCCGGCCCGTGGCTCACTTGGGAGAGTGTGGCGCTGATAACACAAAGGCCACGGTTTCGGATCCCGATATAGGGATGGCCGGTTAGCTTAGGGTGGAGAGCGTGGTACTGACAACACTAAGCCAAGGGTTAAGATCCCCTTACCGGTCATCTTTATTTTAAAAAAAAAAAAAAAAAAAAAAAAAAAAAAAAAAAAAAAAAAAAAAAAAAAAAAAAACCTTGTGAAGAAAAGTTGGCCTATCTGTACTGATTATAGTGATAGTGACTCAGATTACATTTCTTGAATGTTGGACCAAGTTTTGTCTGAAGAGATCATTATGTTTCTTTTATTTTAATATTTTGGAGGAAGAGGGGTTTCTGATAACAACCAGAAAACCTGACAGAGAAATTCTAAAAGAGTTGTTAACACTTTCTTTTAAATCTTCAAGGATAAGTAGAATTGGTCCATCTGAGTAGGGAGTAAAGAACCAAGCAGAACAAACAGCTTTAAAGGCATGGACAGTGGATAAGTGGATGTATGACTGGAGTAGAGTATTGAGAGTTGAGATCATTCAGTTACTAAAGACTTTGGCATTTATCCTGTCTGTCTAGTATAGGTGAGATAGAGTCTTTGAAGGCTCCAATGAGATAATTCTGGTGCCAATCTAGTCGACACATTGAGGTGACTTTCAGTGGCAGACTATCCCTCAGGTAGCCCAGATATAATTTCAAAGTAGGAAATGATTATCTTTATCACTCCCTTCTTTTCTTTTTACAAATCTTTCACCTGCTCTTTACCTTTCCTGTCATGCCTCCTTCCCCATTTTCAGTACCCTCATTCTGCCTTCTGGCTGTCTAGAACTGCCAGTTGTGGCACTCCACCCTTTCTAAAAATGCTCTCAAAATACCCCACCTTTCCCTCACCCACTGCATTATCTCATTAGGTGTTAGAAGGAAGGAATCTATTATGTAACTAAAATAATCCACAGTAGGTTATGATTAATTACTGTGCTTGACCCTTTAGACAACTACATAAGAAAAGCTTGTTGATTTTATACATGAATATGGGTATAGTGACACTTAACTTTTCTGCTATGCTTTCCAGTCCCAGAAATAGAAAAACAAGAAACAGTAGCTTGCCAACTCATTTCAGAAAGATTGTTCTATTTAACCCAAATTTAATCACATTTTTTCCCACCACCCTTCTACCACAGCAGTCTAATTGTTTAACTTTTGGGTGGTGATGTGTTTCAAATACTAACAAATAATTTTAATTTTATAGACTAAGTAAACAAATAATTTTGGAGGCTCTAGTTGATCAATATTATGCATAATAAATGTTGATTGACTAAAATTAATAGGCTCATAGAGTGTATGGATTTCTGAGGCATTACCAACTCTTTTTTTCTTAACATTCCTAGTAATAATAGATCTTTGTTTTTATTTTTCTGACTAGATAGGTGATCAGTAAATATTATCCATGTGATTTAGAGATTAGAGGTTTGAATGATAGTTACCACTGGTTCTGTTATGGAAAAATTTATAGGAACTGTATTCTTGTTTATAATAGTCCCTTTAAGTATGAGATCCATTTATTTATTTTAGAGGGGCCGGGGTTGTGGCTGGCCGTTACAGGGCTCGAACCCTGGATCTTGGTGTTGCCTGGTACAGGGCTCGAACCCCGGACCTTGGTGTTATTGGCACCCTGCTCTAACCAGTGCTCTAACCAACTGAGCTAACTGGTCAGCCTTTGAAATCCATTTATTGCCTGACTTCTCACACTTTAGAGTAGAACTTAGCTAAATTTACCTTTAAAATTGAGTTAATCTTTCCAGAAAATAATTACATTAGGAAGAAAACCTGCAAAAACTTATCTGCCACCCAACATTTATTTGGATCTCCTATGGATAGATTTGTAATGGAGAAATAGGAGCACTAGAAACCCTGCCTCGTTCTTGCCTTTGAGAAAAGTTAGAAATCCCAGTAGGGATCCAAAACCTATATGCACACAAAAATCAGCAAATCTTAAAGCTGTAGAGTTCAGACTTTATGACTTTAAAGTTGATTCATTTAGCAGAATTAAAACTGTAGCTTAGGAAAGAAGTGATCAACACCCCTGGTACATGCTCAAATTCTGGAGCCAGACATCCTGGGTTCAAATCCTGCTGTGCCACTTTCAGCTGTGCAATCCCAGGAAAATTATTTAATGTCTCTGTGCCTTTTCTGGGGGTAGTAATAGTAGCTGTCTCACAAAATTTTTGTGAAGGTTAGATGAGTAAATATAGGTAACATACTTAGAGCAGTGCTATCATAAACCATGTATGTGTTTGCTATTATTATTTTATATAATTATTAATAGTAAAACCCTCTTGCTAAGCTGAAAGAATGTGATAATTATGTTTCCTTTTTTTGGTACCATTTTGTATTTTTCCTGATTGCCCCCCAGTTGAGAACTTCTAGTTTATTCCTTCCTTCATTTTATTTAATCACATCTGACAATAGCTTCCTGAGAAGTGTTGCATAGGATGTAAATTCTTTGTAACTTGTGTGTCTGAAATCTTCTTTATTCTAACTTCATATTTGATTGCTAATTTTAATGGAGTGTAAAACAGTAGATTGAAATAGTGCTCCCCCCACCCGCTGCTCTAGCTTTTCAAGCTATTGCTCCACTGTCTTCTGAATTTCAGACTGATGCCATTCAGATTTATTTTTTTATTTTGGCAATTATTTTAGTTATCAATTGCTGTATAACACACTATATGCAACATGGTTTTTAATTTTTATTTTGAACCCGTGGCCTTGGTGTTATCAGCACCACACTCTCCCGAGTGAGCCACGGGCCAGCCCTCTAAGTTGCCTTTTTAATAATTCAAATTTCATATTTTAAGGTAGGATAGCATCTTTATCCTATAAGATATATGACAATTCCTAAGCATAAATAACATTAATACCTTTCATTTAAAATCATGTGTCCTTTTTTCTTGGTTTATCTGGAACTTTTGGCAAGAGTCTTTGTTATGGCTTAAAATTATTTAACTACTATTTCAGAATTTGTCAACAACAATCAACCCACCAAGGCACCCTGTTTTTACCTCCCTTTGACTCATTTCCTCTCCAAGCCTCTCCATTAAATTTCATTTGCTTCAGTCTCTATTTAAATAGTTTCCTCTGTATACGAATCGAATGTTTCTGCTGAAATTTAAAAAAAAAACATTTTTTTTCACATTTTGTCATCTTTATGAAAATTGCTATATCTGATTTTGTATCCATGTTTCTGTTACCTTGATTACTAATAGATCAGTGATTTTTTGCAGTCTACTTAGTGATTTTGTGTGTGTGTTTGTGTGTATGTGTGGCTAAAAGTGGGAGGAAATAAGAAGCTTTGTGTTGGGAATGGAAACTTTAGGCAGATTGCCAGATTATTTTAAATGATTTCTCCAAACAATATTAGGAAATTTATCTCGGTACCATAGGACTAAATTCAAGTATCTTGTCTGAAAACAATAAAGCAACTCTGTCAGTTTTTCACTTGGTAGATTTTCCCTTGGCTTGTGAAATGAAAAATTAAATCTGTCCGTATAGATTTGTTTGCTTTCTTTGGTCTGGCCATTAGAATTGTATAAATTGCCCAGATTTCCTTTTTTTTGCCTTAACCAATAGGCAGTTAAGACAGGATAGTATTATGTTACAATTCCAGTATATATACCTGGGACTCCTAGGGGATCAGGAATCTAAATTTTGCATGTAAGTACTACTGTTGTATAAGTGATAATAATATGATTAAACATATGTGAGTACATTTAAAAGCAATAATTATTAGTAGCTTTTGGTCATTTTCTGTACTTTCAAAGAATACTAACAAATAACACTTGTCAAGTAGAGTTGTTAGAAAAGGGTCTGTATTATTTAATCATTTGGGATCCCTTTATATTTGACCTCATGTACAAATCCTCATGTACAAATCCTAATAATTGGGCAAATTATTTAATGTTTCTGAGGCTCAGTTTTAGTATTTGTAAAATGGAATAATACCAATTAGAAGGGTTGTTTTGAAAATAAAATTAGATAACCTACTGAATGAATTTCTGATGGTAAGACCCAAGGGTCTGCATTTTTAACCAGTTCCCCAGATGATGATTAGTATGTTACAGGTTCTAAAATTCTACCATATATAAAAATCACATGGATGATTTGTTAAAACACATTGCTGGGCCCCACCCCAAGAGTTTCAGATTCAGTAAGTTTAGGGTGGGGTCCAACAATTTTTATTTCTAAAAAGTTCCTAGGTGATGCTGATGCTGCCGGTCTGGGGAACACACTTTCAGACCACCTGTGTAGTATATATGATGCCACTTGGAACAAGTTAATAAAAATAGAAATAATAATTGGAAGAGTTGTTGGGCACTCATTATGTACCAGACACTGTTACGTGTGCTTTACATACATTATCATTTAATCCTCTCAATGGTCCTATGAGTGTTATTTTTTCTTATTTTATAAAGAAGGAAAGTGAGTCACAGAGACGTTCAGGAACTTGCCCAAAGTTACCCAGCTAATACACACCTGGAGAATCTGGCTACAGTGTTTGTTCTCTAAAACATTATCCAGATAAAAGGTATAACCTGATGATCATGATGATCATGCAGAATTTTTAATTCTCTTTAAAAGAATTTTTCCTAATTTAAAATTTAGTGTTTATTCTTATGTGGGTCTCAGGTCAAAGACTAGAGGACCAGGCTTACCTGGGTCACTGATAGCAAGGAAAGTTCACTTAGTCATGTGCCAGCCAGTACACCACAACCCTGTGTTCCCCTAGGATTTTTGTAGACTTGATCTTTAAATATCTTTTTTATTATTATTGATTTTTTTAAAAAAAAATTTTTTTTTATGTGTTCCCCTAGGATTTTTGTAGACTTGATCTTTAAATATCTTTTTTATTATTATTGATTTAAAAAAAAAAAAAATTTTTTTTTTATTATTGATTTTTTTAAAAAAAAATTTTTTTTTAAAATTTTTTGGTGCTGGCTGGTACAATAACCCAAACCCTTGGCCTTGATGTTATAAGTACCACTTAGAAATATTTATATGAAATATTGCTTATTACATTTGTCTTCTGCCATCAAGTTCTTGGATAGAACATGAAATTATAGTTTTTCCTCCCCCTCTTCACAGAGTCTTCTGGGCCATTATGGCAGTCAAGTGGACTGGTGGACATTCTTCTCCTATTCTCTGCCTGAATGCAAGTAAAGAAGGACTAGTGGCTTCTGGAGCAGAGGGTGGAGATCTCATCACTTGGGGTGAAGATGGGACTCTATTAGGACACATCCAGTTCCAAGGGGCTGATGATGTTACTAGTGTCTTATTTTCTCACTCCCGTCCCACCAAGCTCTATGCCTCACATGGAGAAACTATTAGCATAATGGATGTCAGATTCCTCAAAAGTTCCCTGGACCAATTTCATGTGAACGAAGAAGAAATCAATTGTCTTTCATTGAATGAAACTGAAAACCTGCTGGCTTCTGCTGATGACTCTGGGGCAATCAAAATTCTAGATTTGGAAAATAAGAAAGTTAGCAGATCCCTGAAGAAACATTCCAATATCTGTTCCTCTATAGCTTTTCGACCTCGGAGGCCTCAGAGCCTGGTATCATGTGGACTGGATATGCAGGTGATGCTTTTGCAGAGAGTACTTGGGTAATTTCTAAATGGGATTTGCTAACAGAATCAAGTTATTGATCAGGCTAAATATGTCTTTGCATTTTCTGTTCTCTGCTAACATGTCATCCATTTATGAACCATAAGCTTTACTTCTATATTTAATTGTAGCCTGACAAAACCTACTAGATTTTATTAACAAAGTAATCATTAATCCTTTAGTTTTCCTTTCACTATGCTTTAAGACATTCCTAAGACCTGAGAATTCAAATGTTTGATTCAAAACATCTGTTTAAACAAAGGGACGTACTGAAGGCAGAGTTGATCTGCCCACTCTCTACAAACTCTTATGTTAAAAAAAAAAAGTTGGAGGGACTGGGTCTGTTTTTACTTGAAAATTCTTGTGTACATTAATTGAAATATTGTATATGAATGACCAGTATCAGAGCATTGTATTCAGTGTTGAGTTTTGAAAGTAACATTACAAATTAGCCCATATCCAGAGGAAGGCCTTCAGGAGAGTAGATATATCTAGAAGCCTCGTTATGTGAGGAACTGGAGGTGTTTAATTCTTAGATTTTTTTAGAGGAAAAAAATGGAATATGCTGGTTTAAATAGCAGAAGTCAAGGGGAAGCAGATTTTGGTTTAATTTGATTTTTCAAATAGCTTTAATTTTCCCACTGCTGAATGTGTTTCCTCTGGAGAGAGTAAATCTCCTCACTGGAGTGAGAATAATCATGATTCCTGTCTGTTGGGCACTTAGTACTTGTGAGTGCTTTACATATATTAGTTTTAATTCTTATCACACCACAGTTATTCCTAGATAGTTATTCCTCTTTTACAAATAAGAAAACTGAGGTTCAAATTAAGTGTCCACACAGCTGCCTTACTGAGATTCAAACCTCTCTCTCTGTCTCCAAAGGCTATGTTTTTTCTCTGTGACACCAGAGGTATTGAAGCAGAATATCATCAATAATGTGACAGAAAAGTTTGTTGGTGGGCCAGCCTGGTGGCGCACTCGGTAGAGTGCGGTGCTTGGGAGTGTGGCAGCGCTCCCGCCGAGGGTTCGGATCCCATATAGAGACCGGTCCGCTCACTGGTTGAGCGTGGTGCGGGCGCAACACCGAGGGTTGCGATCCTGTTGCCGGTCGCGGTACGGGCGCGACACCGAGGGTTGCGATCCTGTTGCCGGTCGCGGTACGGGCGCGACACCGAGGGTTGCGATCCTGTTGCCGGTCGCGGTACGGGCGCGACACCGAGGGTTGCGATCCTGTTGCCGGTCGCGGTACGGGCGCGACACCGAGGGTTGCGATCCTGTTGCCGGTCGCGGTACGGGCGCGACACCGAGGGTTGCGATCCTGTTGCCGGTCGCGGTACGGGCGCGACACCGAGGGTTGCGATCCTGTTGCCGGTCGCGGTACGGGCGCGACACCGAGGGTTGCGATCCTGTTGCCGGTCGCGGTACGGGCGCGACACCGAGGGTTGCGATCCTGTTGCCGGTCGCGGTACGGGCACGACACCGAGGGTTGCGATCCCGTTACCGGTCACGAAAAAAGACAAAAAGGAAAAAAAAAAAAAAAGAAAAGTTTGTTGGTTTGGGAACAGGTGACTTCTAGTAGGAGAAACATTGTTTATTAATGACCTACATGTTCGGGACTGTTGAAGGCATTTAATCTATGTTCTCAATTATATACAGTATCTTCTAAGACTGTTCCTGTTAATAACATCTAAGGTTTTGACTTTTCAACCTTCTTGGCTATTGTTCTTTACCACTCCCTCCTCCACCCTACACATCTCCTATAATTTAGGAATCAATGAGTCTGGTTTTTGTTGTCACAATGACTGTTCCCTTCTTCCTCAAGCTACCAGCATTTAGCAGGCAGAATCAGTAGATGTCCTGAAGTGCTAGAATAGACCCTGAACAGTAAAAAAATTGTCCCACCAAAAATGTCTATAGTGCCTCTGTTGAGAATTGCTCTACATTTATGGGGCACTGTGACAGTACAATTTCTAACTTCTTTTCTACTCCTAGGTCTTGACCAAGCCCTTTGTAATCCTCTTACATTTTCTAACCTGGTAGCGATAATCTGCCTATGTGGTTGTGAAGAAACACAAAACCAAGTGATATCAGTTTTAAGTAGGCAGATTGTACAGTGTGTCTTTGACTAGTCATTATTTCATCATTCAGGTATGCCACTTTTCTATCACTGGCTCATTAATTAACCACGAGGCATGGCAAAAGACTATAGGTATGCAGAAGTGACCTGTACTCTTCAAATTACAGTGGGAGGAATGGTCATCTGGATTTATCATTTTGCCTCCAGTTCTAGGTGAGATGTTTTAGTGGAAGGCAGTTGCTAGAGAACAGTCTAGAAAACAAATATTTTGTGAAAGGGAGGCTTAAGTAATTCCTTATTTTGATTTGCCTGGCAAAAGTTACTGAAAGTTCACTGTAGATTAATTTCTGCACTGGGTTGTCATGTAACAACAGTGGCTAAGAGCACAGTTGTGCTTTAAAGAGATTGCTTCCTATAATGAAGTTGAAACTCTATAATTTTTTCACAGTTTTCTCCTTAAAACCCAGCTATTCCGTATTATTCTAAACTTTAAGAATAACCGGCGTATGGGGGAGCTCAAGAATGTAGACATAATAGTGGAAGGGAGTTCTTACTAGGTTAATTTTGAGTTATTTCTCTGTAAACAAACCAATTTTACCTTTTTGTCTTTTTTACTGACCGGTAACGGGATCGCAACCCTCGGTGTCGTGCCCGTACCGGGGACCGGCAACGGGATCGCAACCCTCAGTGTTGCGCATGCACCACGCTCAGCTAGTGAGCGGGAACCGGTCTCCACATGGGATCCGAACCCTCGGCGGGAGCGCCTCCGCACTCCCAAGCGGCGCACTCTCCAGTGCGCCACCAGGCCAGCCCAGCAAACCAATTTTAGCTTAAGGCACTACTCGAGTTACAGTTGACCCTTGAAAATCCAAGTATTATTTTTGACTACCCAAAAACTTAATTACTGATAGCCTACTGTTGACTGGAAATCTTACCAATAACAAATAGTTGATTAACACATATTTTGTATGCTATATGTGTTATATACTGTATTTTTACAATAAAGTAAGGAAGAGAAAATACATGTATTGGAAAAAAAATTCACATATAAGTGGACCCACACAGTTCAAACCCATGTTGTTCAGGGTCAACTATATTGCCATGTTCAACACACTTACCTTTGTTATTATAGAAATTATGAAATTATTTCTTTTCATTTAGATAGGTTTAAATAGGCAAAGTATACTCAAAGAGGCAGGGATCTTAGAGAAAAGTGTGATTTATTAAGATACTTGAGACTGTTTAATTTTTTATTAAATAGATACAAAACAATATTTATAATATACACATAAGGTATAAAGAATAACATTAAATAAATACCTTTGTATCTATCATTCAAATACAGTTTTTTCTTGTAAAGACCTTTGGAAATTTGAAACCACCATGTATTTCTGTATCACACACATTGATTTTCTTTTTCCCCTCATTTCAGCATCTGAAAACAAATGGTTCAAAGGTTTGTTGTTGTTTCTGGAGTTTGCAAGATCTCTAGTACCAACACATAGGGATCAGGATGGTAGAGGAGGCTCTTTATCTTGAAAATAAATCTTTTATGTGGAAAGAAATTTTGGAAGGGAAGAAATTTTTGAGCAGGATCACTTTGATATGATTGCATTCACTTCTGAACATTTGCCAGTTGTCCATTTTCTCTCCCTTTGACATTTTACAGGACCAAACGTCCCGAACTTTTTTTATTCTATTACCTTAATATCTCTAGCTCTCTTGTTTAGGTGATACTGCTTTAATAACTGGTTGAGAATTCAGGTGTAAAACACCTTGGAGTCTTTGGCAGTTAGGAAGAATAAAGAGGTATAAAGGGAATGTTCAGAGAGGAACAATCCAGAATCTTCAATACTTTGAAATGATTCTGGACTTGATAGAATCTGGAATAATTATTAAGACGTTTAGACGATTTAAGTCAAATACAAAAATGTTTCAGCTGCTGAAAACATTTTGGGTGTAATTCATGTTGCATTTCAGAACAGAAAATATAATCCAGGCATTAGGAGCTGTATAAGAAAGAACTGGGGGTACCTGCCAATACACTTAAGCTAGTAGATTCTGGAATGTCCATTTTCCTGTGTTCAGATTTTTTAATAGAAATTATTTTTATATCAAGTTTCAGCACTCATTCATTCGTGTTATATTTTCTGATATGTATTTTTACGTTAGCTTGTTTCAATTTGTTAGGACTTTGGCTTCACTCAAGTAGTGATTGCTGGCCACTTAGTATAATGTTATAAATCCAATCCAAAAGAATTTTCAATGCTTTTCCAAGTAGGAGCAAAATATAAGTGTTATTAGATGTCACTGCTTTTGAAAATAGCATCACCTGGGCCGGCCCGTGGCTCACTCGGGAGAGTGTGGTGCTGATAACACCAAGGCCCCGGGTTCGGATCCCATATAGGGATGGCTGGTTAGCTCACTGGGTGAGCGTGGTGCTGACAACACCAAGTCAAGGGTTAAGATCCCCTTACCGGTCATCTTTTAAAAAAAAAAAGAAAATAGCATCACCAGTGGTAATCATGTCAATTCAGATCTATGCTTTTCACTGTCTAAACAAGGTCATGCTATCCTAGTGTCCATTAAAATTATGAGTTATTATTCAGGGATACCAGATGGTAAAATAAAGCTGTCCTCTTTGAAAGTATTTAGAATATTTTTCTCTTCAAATTGGTTGATACAGGAAAAGGATGAATCACTAGATTATAGTATAAAATCCATTCAGAATGCTTATTTTGTTTTAAACAGGTTTTAATTACCATTTCTTTTAAATCAATTTAGTACGTCCAAGATCATGGTAGGAAACAACAACAAAAAACCAAATATAATACTAGGATGTCAAATTAATCAACAAACACGTTTGGAATTTCTGCTCTTTCCCAGGCATTATGCTAGGCATTAGCAAAGATGAATTCAATCTGAAGAAATTGACAAGCTAGTAGTATATGTCAATTAAGAGAATAGAAACTAAATACGAGAAATAGAAGTGGGGGCCGAGCCCGTGGTGCACTTGGGAGAGTGCGGCGCTGGGAGCGCAGCAGCGCTCCCGCTGCGGGTTCGGATCCTA